TTAGGTTTATAAATTGCTCTTATGGCCGCCCTCTTCTGCATGGGTATCTTATGGATCGCACAACGGTTTAGCTTTTGGGCTAACTTTCTTACAGCCCTGATTTAGCTCCATGTGTCTTTTTATTCTCTAAAATAAAATAAAAATCTACTGGAAAGGATTCATCGTTGGAAGAGGTGCCTAACAGCGTTCAAGTACGCCGTAGTAAAATTGCTACAAGCGCAAAAACTTTGCATAAATACCGATGGAGAGTTTTTTTAAAAGAAATAATTATAAAGATTTTAGCCATACAACTTTTTTTTAAATTTTTGCACAACTTTCTGTGTGTCCCACGTATAAGGTAAACATTGAATGGATATCATTAGAATTGACTTATATTTGCATTTTGATTTTAATATTCAAATTAAATAGGTACACGTTAAATACGAGCTTAGGATTTTGCGAAAGTCAGCTTTTCCCTCTGTCGGCCCCGTGCGGCCCATTTGGTTTCCCTACTACTAGGTCAGCACCGCCACTACACGGTCACAAAATATAGTAGGTTAGTATCTATATCGTGAAGCGAAATTTACAAACAATATGTTTAATAAACAATAGTTAAAGATAAAATATTCTCTCCACAAGTTTTAAAATAATAAATTCCTCTGGATCGAATTTTCGGTCGACAGGAGTATAAGGTATGAGTATGTGCCGGCTCGAGCCGGGTTAGTGCCACGACTTCACAGAATACCGGCGTGTAGTGGAAGCTCTGCTTCCGCGTTTCGTCTGGTGAATGCAGGCGACCGGAGGCCCAATTCCCCCCCCCCCCCCCCCATCAACATAGTAGCGGAATTACATCATAAAACTATCCCAGGAGGGTACCAGCACCCCTGGAGAATCCCTTGCTGAGCATCCACGACCATGCTATTCCATTCCTGAGCGTGGGTGCTCAGGCTGCCCCGCATATTCTGGGGGGGGGGGGGGGGGGAGGGGGGGGGGGCAAAATTCCGCTCAACACACTAACTGCTCGGGGCAAACTGAGCAACAATATCAAGGCGACCCCTGCCACGCTATCCGTGAATTTCTGCAACATCAGGGGACTTCACTCGAACCTAAACGCCGTCCACTACCATCTCGAGACGGCAAAGCCGGCCTTGCTCTTTCTGACCGAGACGCAGGTGTCCTCTCCGGCTGATACTTCGTATCTCTCCTACCTCGGGCTGGAATTTGCGTATACGTCAGAGAGGACATCTGTTCTCGACGCGTCGGTAGTCTTGAAGGTTCGGACCTGTCCATCCTTTGGCTACGCGTAGACAGCGTCGACCATCCGCGCGTCTACGGGTGCATCTATGGGTCCCATAGCGGTAATGTCGAAACAGTCCGACTCATCGACCACGTCCAAATGGCTACAGATACCTAGCTACAACACGTCCCATCCGCAGAGATCGTGATCCTTGGCGATTTTAACGCCCACCACGCCGAAAGGCTCGGTTCACGTTTAACCGATCATGCGGGGAGATCTGTTTATGACTTTGCCTTGGCATAAGATCTGACACAACTGGTTACATCGCCTACGCGGATTCCAGATGTTGAGGATCATACACCTTCCCTGTTGGACCTTCTGCAGACCTCTCATCCGGACGCATATCAGGTTTCTGTCGATGCCCCTCTTGGCTCTTCGGACCTTATCTGATCCGGAGTGTGGTGCCACTCACGCTCCCCTCGCGGTTGCGTTCTGCAGGTTGCCGCCGTGTTTGGCATTACAGGTCGGCGGATTGGGACGGAATGCGGTCTTTCTTTGCTTCCTACCCATGGGGGCGGATTTGCTTCTCGCCGGATGATCCCAGCGCTGTTGCTGACTCTGTCACTGATGTGGTGCTACAGGGAATGGAACTATTTATTCCATCATCTGTGGTACCCATCGGAGGCAGATCTCAGCCTTGGTTTGGTCGCTCCTGTAAGACTGCATTACGCAGTAAGCAGGAGTTTTATCGAGCCTGGGCTGCGGCTTCGGCGACTCGGGGTGTAAACACCAGCATACTTAAAAAGAAGTATAACTTCGCTTCCAGGTCCTTCAAAAGAGTTATTGCCAAGGCAAAGTCAGAGCACATAGGCAGAATTGGCGAGAAACTAGATCGCCTTCCTTCGGGAACCCATGCATTCTGGTCTCTCGCCAAGGCTGTCCAAGGGAATTTCTGTAAGCCTAACTACCATCTCTGCACAAGGAGGACGACTCACTGGCCCACGACGCAAAAGAGAAACCCGACCTTTTAGGCTCCCTTTCTGCGTACAACTCGACTGTTGATGACGGGGAGAACACACCGCCGACCATCCCGCGGTGTGAGTGCTCCATGCCGGATGTGCAGTTCTCACAGCGCTCGGTTCACAGAGCACTCCTCTCCCTGGACATTCACAAGTCGAGTGGGCCTGAAGGAATCCCCCCGATTGTGCTGAGGACGTGTGCTCCGGTGTTGGCATCGGTTCTAACGCGTCTTTTCCGGTACTCCTACTCCCTAGGCGTAGTTCCGAAATCATGGAAGACAGCTTTTGTCCACCCGATCCCTAAAAAAGGCGACCGCTCAGACCCGTCCAACTACAGGCCTATCGCCATCACCCCCTTGTTCTCGAAAATAATGGAATCCGTTATAAACTACCTGCTCATGCGGTACCTCGAGGATCACCAGCTGATTGGTGACCGCCAATACGGTTTTCGTCGGGGTCGATCAGCTGGTGATCTTCTGGTCTACTTAACTCATAGATGTGCGGAGGCAGTAGAGTCCAAGAGGGAGGCATTGGCCGTTAGCTTGGACATTGCGAAGGCCTTCGATCGGGTTTGGCACATAGCGCTTCTTTCGAAACTCCCTTCCTATGGGCTTCCCGAGAAATTATGCAATTGGATCCATGGACCAACTTTCTTGCAGATCGGAGCATCAAGATCGTTGTAGACGGTGCATGCTCCGACTACAAGCCTATTAACGCTGGTGTTCCACAAGGTTGCGTGCTATCAGCAACGCTGTTTCTTCTGCATATCAATGATATGTTGCAAACCGGTAGCATTCATTGCTATGCGAATGACAGCACTGGTGATGCTCTATACACCGGCCGTGCCAATATTTCTCGAAAAAACGTTGCCGAGTACCGGAACAAACTTTTGTCTGAAGTCGAGTCTTTGCTGGACAAAGTCTCGGATGGGGGGCGACTAAATCTAGTCCAGTTTAATCCCCTTTGTCGTATCTCCTCAGTTTTAAGGTACTCCCCTTGTTGCCTCAGCCAGTATCGGAATTCTCGGAGTCGACATATCGAGTGACGTGCAGTTTCGTGGTCACTTGGAAGAAAAGGCCAAATTGGCCTCTAAAAAGCTTGGCGTGCTCTGCAGAGCGAGATAGTATTTCATGCCGGCACAACGCCTGCAACTTTACAAGGCGCAGGTTCGGCCTCACATGGAATACTGTTCCCTTTGCGCATAGGTGGTACGATCGCAGGAGGAGGCAGGAGAGAGAGCTGGTAGGAAGACCCGACGACGTAGGCATAAGTGTGTCGTTAGCCCCAGAAGGGAGAGAATGACGTTAAACTGGGACAAGGAACAGATTAAATATTTGTAGGGAGTCAAGAAAGTGCGCGCGGGAAAGAGCCACGTGCAAGTACCGCGTGCATCTCCCGAGATTCGGCCCGTATGACCTGAGGGTCGGTGGGGCCATGGGAGGTGGTGGGTTGTTCCTATCTCTGGGCTGGGGTTCCCCAGTGCTAGCTACTTCCACTTGACCGCATCCAGCGCAGAGCGGCTCGAATCGTCGACGACCGAGTCCTTTCCGATCGGCTCGACTCATTGGCGCTGCGAAGAGATGTTGCATCTCTTTGCATTTTCTTTCGCATTTACCACGGGGAGTGCTCTGAGGAATTGTTCGGATTAATTCCAGCCGCCAAATTTCACGAACGCACATCGCGGCAGAACTCCTGATACCATCCACACCATCTGGATGATTGGCGGTCCATCACTGTGCGATTTAGAAGTTTTCTTCCTCGCACAACTTCCTTGTGGAATATTTTACCACCAGCGATTTTTTCGGACCGATACGATTTAGGGACCTTCAAGAAAAGAGCCTACTCCTTTTTAAAAGGCCGGCAACGCATCTGCAATTCCCTTGGTGTTGCGGTTGTTCATGAGCGGCAGTAGTCACTTACCATCAGGTGAGCCGCATGCTCGTTTGCCCCCTTTCCTATAAAAAAAATGCTCTCTCTATTCTCCCACTCCCAAAGTCGAATGCGACAGTGTTTTCCAAGGCACGGGGTGAAACACCGCCTACTTGACTCTGAGTTGCTACTGACACTTTTTGACAGAAAAACCTTATAACTGATTTTGATCCGACCCGGGATTTGGATATTATATCACGACGACGATGCAGTAATTTTATGTCTGAGCGTATACATAAAATTACTGCCTCGTTGGTTACTTTACCATATTATTCTCGAGTATTTATTACTGCTTATAGAATTTTTTTTCTTTCTTATAGAATTTAATTTTGTTCTGCACTAAAATAAAATTGTATTTGATGTTAGAATAATCTACACTTATACTATTATAAAGAGGAAAGATTTGTTTGTTTGTTTGAATTGAATAGACTCCGAAACTACTGGACCGATTTGAAAAATTCTTTCGCCATTAGAATCCTACATTATTCCTGATGAACATAGGTTATATAATATTTTCAAAAAGTTAGGGATCCGTATGAAAACTTCATTAATGTAACCCAAGGTGTGAAAAAATACCAAAAAAAAATTCCTTATATCGCATATGCTGCGGAAACTATTGATAATAGAGCAAAGTAATGTACTTCAGTTTTATAGAAGATATCAATATCTACAAAAAAGTCTGCGATACCATATGTTTAACTATTACAGTTATGTCACAATAACTACTTTTTCATGTTAAAATGTGAAACAGTAACACCGGTACAAAATAGGCCACATTATTCGTATCAGTACCTGTATCATGCATAACCACTAATTACGTTAACCATGTAATTTTAGTAACATATTTCACTTTTTAAATCTTTGTTAATTCAGCAACCGTCCATCGTGATGTCTCTCTCGAAGTTCGCATGTCGAAGGCGCAGACGCGTGATATACGCGGGTGAAACCGCGGGGCACAGCTAGTAGGTAATAAATTAATAGGTGTGTAGTGGCTGCTGGTCATTCGCCTGCATTATTTAAACCGATCTACGTGGTTTCATGAATTTTTCGCCCTTTAAACGCGCACGGCAGGAATGGTAGCTGATGCATTATTTAATTCCAGATCAACACTGGAACCACTAGGTTAAAGCCATGAGAAACGTTTTGATTCTTACTTTATGTAATTGGGCTTAAATAATGGTGCTAGGCGGTGAAACTGGAGAGCGCCCACGCTGGTCGCACGCGTTATCTGGTGGTAGTATGCCGGAACGATGAGGCGGCGTTGCTCGGCATCGACTGCAACGAGAGGATCACCGTGGGGCTGGTATTGCGAGTGCTCGCCGACACCTCCATCAAGTTAGACGGCGACGGGTAAGAAATTTAGAAGTTATTATGTATTTAAACAGAGTGTTTATGACAAGGTTTCTTTTATAGGATAAGGGTGACAAAAGAGCACATAGCACACCTGATGGTAAGTGGTTGCTGTGACCAATAGACATCTGCATCTATCCTCGATTACGAATCAAAATGCAAATGCGTTGTCACCCCTGAGGACTAAGATGGAATGCCTCGTTTCCAGTAAAAATGGTCTCCGGTTCTTTACACTCACCAAATGAAACACAGCAGGGTTAAGCTGCTATTTTACGCTGGTACGTAGGTCACTCAATAAGTTTTGAGATATACAAAAAGTATTCTAGATACTATTAATATTTATTTTACATCTTTTCAAAATATTCTCCATCATGCTCTATACAAAGTTCCATTCGCCTAAACCAACTCTGAAAACACTTGCCAGTCTTGATCTGACAGGTCGGAAATCGCTTCTTCGTTGGCACTAGGCAGCCACGGCTTCTTCGGCGCTTGAATAAAACTTGCCTTTTATTTTTTCTTTGACTCTTGGGAACAAAAAGAAATCACTAGGAGCTAAGTCAGGGCTGTAGGGTGGGTGACTTAGAGTTTCAATACCATATTCCTCAATAAACGCTTTTGTTCTAAGGGACGTATGTGAAGAAGCGTTATCGTTATGCAGCATGATTTCCCGAAGCCCGGTCTTTGGTCTTCTCTCCCGTACAGCTTGAAAAGCTTTGGGTAATACAACTGTAGTATACCATTCAGAGTTGACCGACCTACAATTTTTCAGCATTGATGACGACAAATGTCCGCTCCGCGAAAAAAAATTAGCCACCATTTTTTTGCCCACGTTGCGAGGTCTTTGCAGTGTTGTCTGTAATTGTCCTTCTGAGTAGACCCATACCGATGATTGCCTTTTATTTTCCGGATCATATTGATAGATCCATGTCTCGTCACCAGTAACGATTTCTGAAACACGCCTAAATGTCTCGTTTTCAAAACGTAGACGCATTTCATGGCACCAATCCACACGAGTCTGTTCTTCGCTTTCAAAGAGCAAACGAGGGATCCATCGACAACAAAGCATCCTCACTCCAAGATGTTGATATAGGATAGTACGAATGCTCCCCGAACTAATGCCTATAATCTTTTCGATGTCCGTATATATGATTCGTGGGTCTTCTCGAACCAACATTTCAGTAGTCCATACATTTTCTGCCGTTACTGCTGTTTGCGGGGCCCCGCTTCTTTGGTCATCTTTAAGATTAATTTTACCCCTTTTGAATTCAGCAAACCACCTAAAAATTGTTGCGCGTGATGGAGCTGAGTCCCCTAACGCTGATTGTAACAGTTGTAAACTTAATTGTTCGGTTAAACCAAATTTAAAATCATAATATGTATATCATAGCGCGCAAATGTTCACGGTTAAGATCCTTCGTTTTAAATAAAAGCGCGGGAAGCGTTGCAGGAAAATAATAGAACTTTGTTTTTTTTTTAATATTGAGCAATTGGCTTATGAAGATCTATTTTAAAATAAATTTGCTTTTTCGAAACATATAACACGGGTGCGTTGCATTTTAAATTTCGAACATCTCAAAACTTATTGAGTGACCTACGTATTCTGTGACAGCATGGTCCTTCCCCGTTCGAGCCGACCCATTCGAGCTACAACTATACCAGTAATATAGCTGCAGCATGGCTCTAACACGTAAAAAAGTTTGGTGTAAAGGAATCTAGTAGATTTATAAGTACCTTTAATCATCACAAGAATTTTTATGAAAGATGAAAATCTAAGAGTTATAGAGTCTGTTACGAAAGAGAACCCGGGGCGGAAGAGTGAAAGAGTACTTAAAAGTATAGATTATAAAAATAAATAATCCTACAAACTATTGGTAGAAAAACATAGCACTCAAACATTACATAAATAATTTATTTTATTTTATAGAATCAATAGCTTTTATTGATCTTTTAAGACTACTTGAAGACAAGGTGACACAAGAAAATCAAAAAAGTTTCTTAGACACTCAAGTCAAGCCAGCGCAGCGGCCCCAAATCTCGGTTCTCATTCTGAGGAGACTAATGCGTTAGATATATATTACAATCTTACTGTTTGCGTCGTCCTTACTTACTCGTGTCCAGTGTAATACTTATGCGATAAGATTGGATGCAGACTAATGCAGTGTTAGATGCGGGAACGATCACAGTACATTCTGACTCCTAAACCGATGATTATTTTTGAACCGTGTATTTTCAAAATACTCTCCGCTTTTTGTATTCACTTAACCATCACTTTTCTCATCACTTTTTGTATTCACTTAACCACATGGTCGTCGTAATATAGTTAGTTACAGAATTAGAAGAATGTGATAATTATTAGGATTTAGGGAAGTCCATGTGCTATTTTTATTTTATTTGTTTTTGTCTTTAAAAAAGGTCCAATGCACTAGAAATATCTCTCGTATGGTGATGGCTGTTATTATATAAATTGCACAAAAAGAAACTTTCAGATTCCGTGGTGCAGTGGCTTAGCAAAAAGTTGCAGCGCTAAGGACTGCGGCGGGTTCAATCCCGCATGGAACAAGTATTTGTATGGCCTACGAAATAAATAATTGTTCCGGGTATTGATGTTTGTCCTTGTGAAATTTAAGTACATATATAAACTGCTCCACGATACAGGAGAACATCCTAGTGTGGAGGTAATGTTTTTTTAGGGTTCCGTACCTCAAAAGGAAAAAACGGAACCCTTATAGGATCACTTTGTTGTCCGTCTGCCTGTCTGTCTGTCTGTCAAGACCCTTTTTCTCAGGAAAGTGTGGAGCTATCAAGCTGAAATTCATATCAAATACTCAAGTCTACTGTCCCTTAGAGCTGTGAAAAAATCAAACTTCTAAGCCAATGCAATCAAAAAATACAGCCGTTTATGCCGTAAATTTTCGACATTCGCAAGGAAATCAAAACCTACAGGGTACTTCCCGTGAATTCACAATCTTGAAATTTGGTACGAAGCAACGTTTTATAGCACAGATAAAGGAAAAATTGCGAAAAGCATAAATTTTTAGTTACATCATATAATAAAAATATTTTTAATAATTTTAAACTTATTTGTTCGGAACCCTCGCTGCGCGAGTCCGACTCGCTCTTTGCCGGTTTTTTTTAAGAAAATAATTAAAATAATATTGAAAGACTTGTTTAGTGCGGCATTCGGACCAGCAGCAAACACTTAGCCCCTGCGCTACCAAATCGTCAAATATACGTAAATTTATGGCTGAAATTTAACAGATCGCAAATTGTCCTAGTTGGTATCAGGAAAACTAGGTCTTGCCACTTAACGGTTTTAACATTACTCACACCCATTGCCAATATCTTCGTTCGCTTATGAATACACAGTGTAGCAGCCTTCACGTGTGACGCCGATATTATCGTACTCGACACTCGGAGAACAATTACAAGAAGCTACATAGCTGACTGTACTCTCGGGTGAACTATGAACAATAACTTATTAAGGATTCATTGTCCGCAGAGGGTTCAGCGTATGTGTGTGCAACCAACAACACATATTCAAGCCTGTATCCGTGCAAGCAATGTGGTAAGTGTGAATTAATTATAGAAAAAAAACTTTAACTGTTTTTAAGGACTTGTCGTTGTTTATAATTATGTTTTGATGATGGAGTTGTATAATAGCCATTAATTCCACGAAATGCCAAGCCATAATCATAGGTAGTTCTAGAATAATTGCTAAAGATTAATTTCGTCTACCGCCTATTTTCCCTTAGGGCATTTTGTTTTATTAGTTACTAGCTGGTATCCGGCGTATTGCTATCGCAAAAGAAATAATTGTGGAAATATCGTTTTAAATTTGGAACAGTCATATTGTTTAATTAGGAGGAGGTATTATACATGCATTGAAATTGAATGACATCTGACTTTGAAATAAACTTGTCGGTACGATACGCATGCCACCTACTGTAAATTAATTGTACTATGCCTAAAACCTTCGCGTAGATTGCAAGCAATCAGTTGACAAAGTTTTAGCGCAATCTGATGAACGGTATGGCAGCGCAAAATACGAACAAACAAATATTATTTTTTATATATTAGATTAATTTAATGAAGATCTAACTTGACTTCAAAGATTAGCAGAAATATGTTTTCAGTTTCAGACTTTTACGGAATATTATTCTCTACTTCTGCTAAAGTTGCTCAATCTCTGCTTCTGCACATCTAGGTTTATATTATGTTTGCCATCAAGACATATCATATCATGTTTTAGTTAATTTCAAACGGTTAGTTAGTTACGATTCATGATTACGGTTCCGTGCCTAAAGGGTAAAACGGTGCCTCATTAGTCGCTCTGCTGACTGTCTTTGTGTTCGTCTGTCATACCGATTATCAAGTGGAAACTTTTTTTAAGAATCTTAAAGAAGGACCGAATCGAAATTTTGAAGCGTTTTCCTATACTGGGTTGTTTCTAATATAGACCTCAAAGCAATTTGGTATCGATTATTTTTACGGGGATGATGTATTGATTTTCACCTCCGTATATTAATTGCGATAAAAATTATAAAAGTTAAAATACCTAAATAATAACAAAAAAAAAATAACCTCGAAACGTCTCCATAACATTAGTTTTGTCTCATTTATTTTTTGCAAGTCAATGAAGAATATACTCCATTAATTAATGAAAATGGCCGGAAAATCTGGGGATTTGCATCAATCTGTAGAAAAGATATTCTGGGGAAATTATGTACCTCTATGTGATATTATAAAACATCTTTGAATTACTTATCGATTATTACAAATAGGAATAATGTACGCTAAGGGTAGTCCTCGTGTAATGAGTGTGCGATGCATTTTGAAGCGGGTCCGTGGTTAAACAATAAGGTGCGTGGGCTGCAGGTCGGCGCTGCAAACGTTGCACCGCGCCAGCGGGCGCGCGCGCGAGCTGAACCACTTCGCGGGCGGCGCGTCGCACGGCTGGTGCGCGTACTACGAGGCGCGCGTGGACTCCGACCGCTCCTGCCTCAACGAGTGGCACGCCATGGACTGCCTCGAGTCGCGCCGCCCGCCCTCGCCGGACTCGCTCAGGCTCAAGTCAGTCGCGCCTTCTCATTCATTTATAATCATTATGTAAATAATATTATAAAATTCAAGAGACTACTACTGACATGCCTGAAGAAAAATTGCAGGAAATTTTCGAACATAAAAAATTGTACACCTGATTGCGCATTCTAGGGAAAGCCTATGTTCATCAGTAAACTTACGACAATTGAGTTTTGAATTTAAGAAGTTCAACCCGGCACACTTTTTTAGACTTCAGCCTATTGTATTCTAGTATGTTATTCTAGTACGGTACCATGTAGTGGCGGTGTAAGAATATCTATTACCCCATATTCTCCCGAAGGTTTTGCAAGAGCCAACAGAGAGAAAATAATTATAATTAATTTGTTACATTTGAAAAGCTAACCGCCTCACTTGAAAACATAGCCAGTTTTTTTATTTCTATCGGTTGTTTTGATGTAAGGTTAAAGCTTGTCGAGCTCCCCCAGAATATATAGTATGTATATTAATGCGTTTTTATATAAACTGTTCGATCTAATTGGTTCACTGATGATTTCGAGCTACTATGATATAATTTATTATTAAAACAATTAATATCACGCTGGCGAATTCGCATTCCTATTACCAAACTAAACGATGTCGATGCTCCACAAATCTTACGTGAACTTTGCGGCTTAGATAACTTAGACGTACACTATGCAGTTCAGAAACACTATAAACACAGACACAGATTGCTCATCATTAGATCCCACTGTCACGTTATGCCATATGCTCCTTGGCTAGAAAGGCAAACATCACTAAAACAAGAAATACCTTGATGCTAGCGTCCGGTCGTTCCTATCTTCGGTCGTTTTGTTCTTTCGTTTAACCTCTACTTTGTCTATAAGCTGGTAGGATTCCCTTTCTGCCTTGGAATCCGTCTGCAGCAGCAGGACACTTGCATTTGAGCGCGAAGAGAGCCAGTACAGTTATTGACTGAGTTATTTAATCTAAGTCCTGATTGATGACAACGGCTTTCGAATAAACATACAGTCGAATTAAGTACCTCCTCTTGTTTGAAGTCGGTAGAAAAAGGCAACAACGCTTTGTTGACAGCGTCTACGTGCTGTTTTTGATTGTCGTTACGACGATAACTCGACGACTTCCAGCCTCCCGAACAAGCCGGTTTCCGAAAAGGGTTTCACACCACAGACCTTCGGCAAATTGTACAGAAAATCGAAGAGTACAAACTGCCAGAATGTCTTGTGTATGTAGACTATGAGAAAGCCTTTGATGTTGGCCGTTGTTTGAAGTCTTTTAGCCTTTGAATTTTAATTAAAAACCTAATTTGACATCAAACATTTTTTGCCCATTTTTCCCACCCTTATGGGTGGAATCTTTTTGTCAAATTTATATAAGACTATCCCAGACAGTAATATTATCACCTATTTAATAAAAAAATCATTATTAAAATCGGTTTACAGCTGACGAAGATATCGCGTAATATACAAAAAAGAACACACAGTCAAATTGTGAACATCCTCCTTTTCTAATTCCGCTAAAAATCAGTAACAAACTTTAGCCAATATGACGTACGAGCATAATATAATCAATGAATCTTTCTTAGGCAAAAATTAAGGACGGTTAATACGATTTCGTGCCAACCGTCAATCGTTACCTACTATTTATAAGATGCGAAAATAACGACTGAAGGTTAATGGTAAGATACGACTCGGTTTAATTATATGTGCTTCACAGGGTCTCGATGAAATGTAAAAACTTGATAATGGCCGCTTTCGGTCACGGTAGCCACTCTCAATGGAGACTAGTCATCTCAACAGGATAGGATTATATTGTTATATTGTATAATGTAGCCGTAATATGATTGTTCCTCGCCTTGATGTTATTACTCCTATTATCACTTATTTACTCAATGCTGTGTCTCTTCTTCTAAATTCCCTCAAGCCTGGAAGAGTGCTCATATTATACCCCTTCCGAAGAGATCTAATCCCGTCAACCTCTGATTTCCGTCCCATCTCGATCTTACCTTTCCTTTCTAAAGTACTTGAAAAACTTATTTGCCAACAGTTGACCCTTTTCCTTAATAAGCACAATTTATTGAATTCCTTACAATTCCGGTTATGGATAATAAACAACTCACAGTCAACTTACTGCTGGATTTTAGTAATGCGTTCAATACTGTTGACTTCGATATACTGTTGAGTCTGTTGTGTTCCTTTAACATATCTCCATCAGTAATTAACTGGTTTCAAAGTTATCTCTGTGGCCGTCGGCAGTGTATTCGTGTCGATGAAACTTACTCCTCTAGGTGTGATATTACTTCAGGCGTGCCGCAGGGCGGCGTGTTGTCACCTTTACTCTTTTCCATTTTCATTAATTCAATCACTCATAAAATATCTTCTCTCTACCACGTGTATGCGGATGATATCCAGATTTACACCCAGTCAACTCTTGAGAATTTGCCGAATACAACCGCTACATTGAATAAGGATCTAAATTTTATTCACGAGTGGAGTAAATCATATGGCCTAAATGTCAACCCTAAAAAGTCTCAGGCTATCATTATTGGTAGAGCTTTATCTCAAAAATTGACTGGTTCTCTGTACCGCCTATCGTATTCGATGGAGTTGTAATCCCTTACTTTGACAATGTCAAAATCTAAAAGAATAGAGTTCACCTGTGCGCAAGCATATCCGATCATAGTCCGATGGGACGGCAATAACTCGATACGTGATAAAAATACACAGTCTGAGGTTTCACTATTTTGATACTATAACAATTTTGGTGAATTTTGGTTGCTAAAATTTGTGATGAGACATTATACGAGGGCGACAATGAAAGTTTTTAGAACTGGCCACTTGTAAACGATATAATAAAAAAATAAGTTCAAATTTTGAAAATGGAACTCTTTTTACAATATTATTGTGTATGTATTTTATTAATTTGTCATTTGTTTACGATTTGGCTGCAAATTGAAAATTGTGTGTGTCACGTCTTTCGATGTCATTTAAGCCAACAAGAAAGTTAGTTTACAAACATAAACTGCACAAGGACAAACATCCAAACCCGGAACAATTATTTGTAGGCCATACAAATACTTGTTGCGTGCGGAATTCGAACTCGCGGCCCCCAGCGCAGGAACTCATTGCTAAGCCACTACGCCACGGAGCCGTCAAAAGGAGTTGTTTGTATCACGTGAGCATGATTTTAACGCGAGAAAATTTTCGTACAACGATTTTTATGACTTTCGATGTCATTTAAGTCAAAAAGAAAGTTATGATAGACTTCGACTGGCATTGCACGATGAAGCCCCTTCTCGTGCCACTGTTTACAACTGGTTTAATGAGTTTAAACGTGGTCGCACTAATCTCACTGATGATCTGCGTGAGGGACGGCCTTCTACGGCGACGACTGAAGATAACATCAGTGTTGTGCGGCGTATGATAGAGACTGACAAAAGAGTGATTTATCAGCCAGTAGATTCGGACAAGCTTTTAGGCATCGGTATTAGTCAAGTGCACAAAATCCTCCATGAACATTTAGCGGTCAGAAAGCTTTGTGCCCGGTGGATACCTCATAATTTGACAGAGGCCCAAAAACTCCGTCGTGTTGTTGATTGGTGTCGTGAAATGATTCAAAGATTTAACGGAGGTGACTCAAATGCTGTGTTCGACATACATACGGGTGACGAAAGCTGGATTTATTGTTATGATCCTGAAACGAAGAGACAGTCTGCTGTCTGGATATTTCCTTCCGAAGAGTTGCCAACCAAAGTGAAGTGAGGTCGAAGCTTGGGAAAAAAGATGGTGCCCTCGTCCTTCGAAAGGACAGGTCATTACACAAAAATCTAGGATCGAAAAACAGTTACTGCAGAGTGGTACACTAACAATTGTTCGGCACTTGTCTTGAAAACAGTTCTCGAGAAACGACCTCGCATTAGGATCCTCTTTCACCACGACTACGCCTCGTCGCACACCGTCAAGCAAACAATCGACTACTTGGCGACGTCAAACTTGGAGTTACTAGGGCTTAGCTTTCCATTGACGTCCGTCGAGTTGGGATTTTTTTTACAGAAAGGTTACATTATTATAAGCACACACACACAAAGTTTCGACATTCGGGGACGCGTACTGTTTGAGAAAAAAATTATTTCAAAATGCCGTCAAAGAGATCCCTAAGGACGAGTGGGCAAAGTGCTTTTCTCAGTGGTTCCATCGGATGCAGCGATGTATTGATGTAAATGGACACTATTTTGAAAAGATATAATAAAACTAATAACTTGCTAGTTAGTTCAGTTTTTGATTTTCTAACAACTTTTAGTGTCACTCTCGTAGCACCTTGTACTATAATGAATTCTGTGACATTGACATTGTATCTTGTATCCCCATTTTTATCGTACGAATCCTATGTTACGTTGTTAACGACGACGATTGAGATTGTTGCCCTACGTCAGTCTTTGCCTCTCACCGATCAGTCTCGACAAATAGTTTAGTTTGGCAAAGTCGTAAGTTATCTTTCCCATAGTCTAATGTATGATTTGTCGATCAAATTAACTGCGTTTTTGTAAAACGTGGCATTTAACTAAGACGACTTGACGGTGACTTTATGTGTGTTCATGAACCTATAAATTAACTAGCAAATTGCACACACGTGTGTATTATCTATATATATATCCGTAATATATACATAAATAAAATTGAAATTTTTGTTTGTAATGTCAAAATAACAGCTTTTTACTAAATGCATATAAAACTATATACGGCACATGTAGCAGAAAAGCAATTTTAATTTTTTTTCTCTCAGTCTGTCTGTCTGTTTGTTCCGGCTTATCTCCGGAACGGATGAACCGATTTGGAGTGGCAGATGTTATAAGGAGTAACTTAGGCTACTTTTATTTTAGAAAAATAATTAAGGTTCCGCGCAAAAAGTAAAATCCAATTGTAATAAATTCCACGCAGGCGAAGTTGCGGGGAACAGCTAGTACGTAATAAATATTCACACAAAAGTTTTCAGAAACATTGTGCATTTAAACAATGAGTTTTTTTCTGGCAGTTACTAGAATGGGTTCTCTGTTAAAAGGTAATTTTGCGTTACCTAGACCTCGTTTCTTAACCTTTCAACAATCCAACGTCAGCAAATATGTTGTTATGTTAAAACTTCGTAGCGTGTAAAATGGAACAAGAAGCTTATTGCATTTTAGGCTCATTGGCATAAAATTGCGTCATTAAATGAATCGTTGCTCTCGCAATTACCGCTAATGAGATTTTTCGTGTCATTGTTAAGGCCGACTAAACTATTAATTGCCGTTTAACGTAGAATAAAATTATTTTTAATTTCGTATTTTACTTAATCATATCTAATAAAATATCGTTGGTTTGTGTTGGTTGTTTGAGGAATGTAGTGCTTAAATAATTCATTAATGCACAAATAAAAATACAATTCTATATTATTTATACTTAAATTTCTTTATTTATGTTAATAACTAAGGAAAAAGTTGCAAGTTACACATGTCAAATTTAACAGTCACCTGTTGAAAATTTCTTCATTAATTTATGACTTAAAAACTAATATTACATTGTCGACATATACGGTGTGTGGTCTGGGTTTTCATGATAGAAAACCAGTCCTTTTCTGTTGATCAATTCCGGCCGTTTTTTCTCAATTTCTTGCTTGAGTCTTATTAATTTTTCGCGGTAGAGATCCGAACCGATGGTTTTGCCCGGCGGTAAAAGCTCATAATAAACGATGCCCTTCCAATCCCACCATACACACAGCATTACCTTATTACGTGTTAATCCGGGTTTTGCTACAGTCTGTGGAGCTTGACTACCCTTTGACCATGATCTTTTTCGCACGTTCTTGTCGTAGTAGTCACTTTTTATCACCACTGATCAATCTTTTCGAAAAGAGAATCGCAAATGAGTACACACAGTGAGGTTTCTTTCAGTGACCTCGTGTGGTACTCAAATATCGAACTTTTCTGTATAGCCAGACTTTGTGGGCAATCCTCAGTTCCTCGGCTATGTCGTAACTACTAATATGCCCATCTTGGTCCACTTTTTTAAAAATGGCATCGACTTTATCCGTATGAGGGCATTAAAGTTCCCGGACTGAAAACGCTTGAAATAACTTTGTGCTACTCTTACTGACACTGCATTAGGTCCATAAACGTCACATTTTTTTCGCGGGTTGAGTCGCATTTTTCTCTTGTTTGTAATAAAACTTCAGAATCTATCGAATTTCTTCAAATCAAAATTTGAAAATGGCGGGAAAGTTTTTTTTTTACTTTTTGTTATTCTTTATTTTTTATTGTTATGTATTGTTATTAAAACCAGCCAGATACATACAATACAATCAAAGAGATTTTTCTGCAATTTTATACAAACAAAATACGAAGAAACTTTCCTCGATCTATTGAAACAGAGCGAAAACAGTTTTTTTTTTTAATTTATTTATTAATGTATTTATGAAACAGTGGTGTTACTTAATTCTAAACTCGCCAAACTTTTACGTTTGATGGCGAGCCTTGCCTAAGAGGGATTTACCGAACCGCCAAGCTTAGGAAGGAGGATTCTCGATCGCAGTACCAGATGTCTTTTACCATTGATGTTGTTTCCCGTCGCCGGTCTGAATATTTTACATCTAACATACACGAGATTGTTGCATTTTTTATAGGGATAGGATGACAAACGAGCACACAGTCCACCTGATGGTAAGTGGTTTCTGTGACCCATAGGCATCCACATCTATCCTCAATAAAGAATCAAAATGCAGATGAGTTGTCACCCGTGAGGACTAAGATGGAATGCCTCTATTCCAATAAAAGGGCTCTCCGGTTCTCTACAGTCACCATACGAAACACAGCAGCGTTAAGCTGCTGTTTTACGCTGGAATTCTGTGAGAGCGTGGTCCTTCCCCGGTCGAGCCGACCCATTCGTGCTACAACTACTACTAATATGCTGCAGCATGACTCTACCACGTAAAGAAACGTTGCGCCCTTTAGCATTTTCTGTCGCACTTAACACGTGGAGTGCACAGAGGAATTGTTTTGATTAATTCCAGCCGCCAAATTTCACATTCGCACATCTGGATGCTTGGCGGTCAATCATTGTGAGATTTATTTGTAGTTTTCCTCCTTGTTCGACTTCTTTTGGAACCGTTTATCACCGGCGATAATTCCGGCCCACTACGACTTTGAGACTTTCAAGAAACGAGCTTACTTCTTTTTAAAAGGCCGGCAACGCACTTGCAATTCCCCTTGTGTTACAGTTGTTTATTGGCGGCAGTTATTTACTTTTTATAACTTTTATTATATTAACCATCAGGTGAGCCGCATGCTCGTTTGCCCCTTCCTTAAAATTAGTAAGAATGATAAGCGATCGAGCAGTCCACCTGACGGTAAATGGAAGTTGTGACCTATTTATAAAGACTATAATTTATCTGCATTGTCCGATCGATGAGGATTCAGATGGAATGCCTCTTCGCCAACTCTAAATTACTTGTAGAAAAACATGGCATGAAATAATTAGCTTAGCAAGCCCAGAGCAGCGCAGCTTGGCTTAATGTTGATTAGCCATAAGCTACTATTTTACGATGAAGCCTGGTCCTTCTGCGGTCAAGTCCAAAATATTCATTTGCAGCGTGGCTCTTTCACTTGAGAATTCTCATACGCTGCTTAGTTATTAATTCATATTCATATTTCCGTTCCTTTTTAATTAGAGTTCATCATTTTCTTTTACAGGCCAAGAGAAAGAGATGAAACAGAACGTGTGATACGATGCACGCTAAAGGAGATCATGATGACCGTGGATTTGGATGAAGTGACCAGCAAAGTTATCCGAGGGAGGCTAGAGGACGAGCTCGACATGGATCTGGCTGAGTACAAGTCGTTCATCGACCAAGAGATGCTAACCATACTGGGACAAATGGACGCACCAACGGAAATATTCGACCACGTGTATCTCGGCTCCGAGTGGAACGCTAGCAACCTTGAAGAATTGCAACGAAACGGGTAAGGCGCAATCAACCCTTTGTCCTTTGCATCACAGAGCACAGATATACCACGTCGGTAGTCGGCTAGCCGGCGATGTGATGGCGCAGCTATTCTGTGCTCTGTGGCTCGCATTGTACGGATTATAAAATTCATCTATATCAACCACCTTTCGTGTTGTTTGATGCGATCGAATTTCAGCTGAAATCAGTATTTGAGCATAAAATCGCTTATTAACTCGGTACATTGTAAACGTGACGGACTCACTCGATACATTTAATTTGTTTAAATAGAAGTAAACGTGACCAACGATCACACAGTCCAGCTGATGGTAAGTGAACGCCACGCTCAAGGATAGATAGACGTAAAGACCTACATCTATCCTTGAGTAAAAATCTAAATTCAGATGTGTTGCCACCTCCGGACTCTCACCACTCACCATAAGAAACGTAGTGCTATTTGCTATTTTACGTTAGTCATCTGTGCGATCATATAGTCCTTCCCCGGTGGAACCGACTCATTCGTGCTGCAGCCATAATATGAGTACAACTACACAGTGGCTCTCTGCTTAGATTTTGGTTACTTTTCTAGAAGCTAATGTTATGTTACCCTCACTTAAATTGTCATTTAGAGCAGTTATAATTTAACTCCCGTATTTTCTTTTATTTTCAGGGTTAGTCATATTTTAAATGTGACAAGAGAGATAGATAATTTTTTTCCCGGTATGTTTGATTACCTAAACATAAGAGTGTATGATGACGAAAAGACTGATCTTTTGAAACACTGGGATAACACATTTAAATATATTAATAAAGCGAGGAATGAAGGGTCAAAAGTGCTTGTGCATTGTAAAATGGGGATCAGCAGGTCCGCTTCCGTTGTTATTGCTTATGCTATGAAAGCGTTTAATTGGAATTTTGATAAGGCTTTAAAGCATGTAAAAGCAAAAAGAAATTGTATTAAACCTAATACTAATTTTCTTAGTCAGCTTGAGACGTATCAAGGTATACTACAAGCTATGAAGAATAAGGAAAAATTACAAAGATCTAAATCAGAAACTAATTTAAAATCCCCTAAAACTGCCTCAAAGATAGAAAATAAGATTATGGATCCTACGCCTTTAGTTTTAGCTTTAACTGGATCATATTCGGGACGACCTAGGTCTTGGTCCCCAGACACTAAACTCGCTTCTGAACTTTTGCCACCGACTTCAGTTTCACTAGAGAATTTAGCGTCTGAAACACGCCATATGTTAATGCCTTGCGCCAACGGAAGCTACAGCGTTTCACCAAATCAAATTATAAGATTAAAAGAAGAAAAGGAAGAAACGGCTCTATCGGTTAAGCATATTGTTAATGAAATAGAAAGTGCAGCCTCGATTGATCGAAGAGATATCAACAGACGATATCAAAGATTAAATTTTGGTAATCTCAATGAGGAGCCCAGTAGCAGATCGTCGGAGGGATCGATCGGGTTGTCAGCTCAAATAGTCGATGTACCTGGCAAGCAACCACAGGCGTCGCCAGTGCGAAATTTAGGTCACAAGTGCTCTCATTCGGACGTCGAAGCCGACAAGATACATACATGGGATCCTGGGGAAGCTCCCTGGCCTAGAGGTGATGAAAGTAGGAACGGTAACGATAGTGATAATATAATGAAAAGTGACAGTGGTATAATAGACGTTAAGATAAAAACAAGTGACGCTTTCTCAAATTTTGTAGACCGTAATATAGACAATGACGACAGGAGAATTATCGAAGACGACGCCCCGCCGCCTAGCAGACAGAGTTCCTGGAGTTCCTTCGACAGCGCTGTAGTGCCCGATCTCTCGCGACACTCGTCGTGGGGCTCGTACGACACCAGATCGACCCGGCCACAGGTGGTGATCCGCGACGATCCCGCCAAAAGGAGCAAGGACAAGGGCGACGAGCGAAGCGAAAAGAGCGTCGACTCGATCCCGCCGCCCAAACCGGCTTCCGACCTCGGTATCATCAGCGAGCACAGCGAGAGCAGAGGCGCACGGCGCGCTGGGCCTCGGGAGCCGGACATTTCGGCCAACGAGAGGAAGTTCAACGAAACGTGTGCCATACTGAAGGAGCTGGCGCGCATGGAGCGGGCGCGTGACCGCGGGGCGTCCACGTGGGGCGGCCGGCTGTCGGCGTCCGCGCCCGCCGACACGTGGCTGCGCGCCGCGCCGCGCCGCCGCCGCCTGGCCGCCGCCTCGCACCCCGACCTGCCGCGCGCCGCGCCCGCCGCGCCCCTCGCGCCCCTCGCGCCGCACCCCGCACCCATCGGCCTCGTCAGCAACCTCAAGAAGGAGTTCGAAGCGCGGCTGGAGGGCGAGCCGGCGCGGCGCGGCGTGACGCGCGGGGGCGCGGGCACGTCGCCGCCGCTCGGCGAGGATCTCTCCGTGAAGGTGCTGGTGGGGCGCTACGACCGGCCGGGCCGAACGCTCGAATCGCTGTCCAAGAAGTGCCGGCTGGCGGAGGGCGGCGCGCGCGCGCTGCGCAACTCGTTCTGCGCGGGCGAGCGACCGCCGCCGCCGCCCCCCGCGCCTCCCGCGCCCCTCGCACATCCCGCGCACTCCGCGCCCGTCGTGCTCTCCGTCGCGCCCGACTTTCCCAAAGTAGTGGTTTCAACTGTGATGTCGAAAGCTCAAAACAAAAAACAATTGCAACATGGAAAGACCCATCCGTTGACGAGGCTCAACCTGAACCGGTCGACTAATAGATGTTCAAATCCTGTGTATAATACTATGTAGAAGTATTACGTGTTTTTATTTATTATGAATTCTTGCCAAACTCGATATTTTATCTTTCTAGAGTTTTATATACTATTTACAAAATGAAATCACAGTGTATTTGTCTATCACTTCAAAATGTATTAAACGGCTGTTAATGCTTAGATAAATGTTAAAAGAGAGAATAAATTCGATACAACCGATGTACAAGTTTTAAGATTGAGTTTTCTTTTACACCTTAGTAAGTCTCACAACAGTGATATGCGAAAAGTTAAAATCAAATTTCCCTAGCCAAAATCTACAATTTGCAGTTTCTTTCCGCTTACAAATGCCACACGAGGTATATTCTTTAAATCATTTCCTTTTTTAAAACCATCCGCATCCTTTTTAGGTTTTCTTCGTACTGTTCCATAATCAAATACATATATGCCACCTGGATTGTTTCTTATTGAACACTCCGTCTGAAAAATTATTTGATTCATTATTAATTTACTTAAAATTTCTCTTAAACAAAGACTATAAATTACTCTATGTATAATGTTAACTGTAATACAAAAAAACAACAGATATTATTTAGAGCGTATTTGAAATTTGCCCGACTTGCAAAATGTATGGGAATTTTATCGAATGTTTGTTAGTAGATTTTAATACGAAAAATGTTTAGAAAGATACATGTAACTATTTTGTATAAGGTTGTATATTTTTAGATATAACAATCAAGTCAATAAGAGACTAATCAAGTTAAGATGTTATACATAAAGTAACACGGGTCACCGGCGGCACGGAAGGGAGTAGCCATAGTGTTTTTTCCCGATACAGAACTATCTTTTTTGTCCGGGGTAACCAGCTTACAAAAATCAATCGCCTGTCACTATAACGGATACTCACACATAACAATTAAAACAATAACAATTTCACATACACATAGATACATTATAACAGTATCGCTCGGTGATAGCACCAACTCGGATACTGACTCTGATCAGTCGCTCGACCGATCTGTAAATTGTAGGAGGCGGGCGGCCTGTGTTGCTAAACAAATACGAAACAACACTACCAATATTATTGTAATTTTTAAGTTTAAAAAGAAGTAAATAGCATAACATGATTGAAAATTACTTGTATATGTAAGTTAATGCTATCTTTCTGTAAATTTGACGTAAGTAGTTCTTTTTCAGCAAAAAACTGAACAATTCGTCATTTTTATAGGACGTCGTAGTGAGCAGTGCGGCTGCAACTAGTTTTATTGTACGCATAGGAAGGACCGCGTGGACTTGTACTTTTACATAGGGGAACGCCTTTGTATGGCTACTCCCGTCCGGTCCACCGGTCGCTCGTGTTGCTCTTTGGAAGTTCTGAGTATTTACGCAACGACACAAATCCAAAAATTATTCTATTAAAAATAGTGATGTAAATTCTAGTATTTAACGTGAAACAAGCACCACTTGACTCCAAAGTTTTTGTAACCTCTTCATGGGGCAAAGTACAAGCCTTCTAAACAAAGTCCCAGAAAATTAGATCGCTCAATGTAAATTTATTTTTTTAATAAATTTAAATTGTATCAGGGGTTATAATATTAACGAAAACGTTATTGATAAACTAAGGTGCTTCTTATAGTTGCTGCTGTTGCTATTTCTAAAAGTTTAATAAATGTTAAACACTGCCCGCGGCAGCGTTGCCAACTCTACGGATTTTTTCGAAGGTCTACGGAATTTTATCATCGTCTACGGAACTACGGATTTTGATTTGAAATCCACGGAATATGATTTACATGTTAATTTTTTTTTTGTACTTCAGTCCTTTCAGAATAATTGGATTTTTAAAAAGTTAATAAAAAAAATTAACATTTTATTTCATGAGTGTGAACTTAGCCGACAACCGACAATCGAAACTTAACAATTGATATCATGTTTTTTTTTTATAGGACACAGTCCACCTGATGGTAAGTGGTTGCTGCGGCCCATAGACATCTACATCTATCCTCTATTACAAATCAAAATGCAGATGCGCTGTCACCCGTGAGGACTAAGATGGAATGCCTCATTTCCAGTAAAAAGGGCCGCCGGCCACCTGCACTCACCAAGCGAAACGCAGAGGTAAACCTCTACTTCACGCTGGTTTTCTGTAATTTAAATGAAACTAATTTTTACGGATTCGTCATCATCATCATCATCATTACAGCCGTTCACAAGTCCACTGCTGAACATAGGCCTCCCCCAAGGAATGCCACAAAGCACGGTCCTGAGTCACCTGCATCCATCGACTTCCTGCATGTCTAGGTCTATGATGAGGTCGTCACTTCATCTCGTGGGGGGGTCGCCCTACACTTCGCCTAACAGTACGAGGCTGCCACTCGAGAACCTTTCTTCCCCGTCGGTAGTCGGTTCTTCGAGCTATATGGCCGGCCCACTGCCACTTCAGCTTACTAATCCGTTGGGTTATGTCGGTTACTCTGGTTCTACTGCGGATATCCTCATTTCTAAGTTTATCACGCAGAGAAACCCCGAGCATAGCCCTCTCCATAGCTCGCTGAGCGACCTTGAGCTTCCTCATACGGCCAGCAGTGAAGGACCACGTCTCAGATCCGTAAGTCATCACTGGCAACACGCACTGGTTGTACAATTTCGTTTTCAGGTTTTGAGGTATACCTGACGAGAAGATGTGTCCTAGTTTCCCGAACGCTGCCCAGCCGAGTTGAATCCGTCGATTGATTTACGGATTATATCGCGTTTAATTTTAAGTTTTTTAATTCCCAACGTTTCGGATGTTTTACTGCACCCATGGTCACGGGAGGGACTGAGGTGTTTGACGTCCTGATGTCATAGTTATCCCGGCTACCTTCAGTTTTTTAATATTAATTTTTGGTTCGATTTACGCAGAATGAGCTTACAGTATCTTGAAGTCTAGCAATGGTATACTTGGGTTTGGATTTTTTTATCCCAAGGATCCCAAGCAGATGGTGGCACCCATCCATCTTCTCTATTGAAATTAGGATGTTTTTTTTTTAAATTTCAATAGCCTCGCGAATTAGCCTTGGTAGGAATCGGTGTTCTTTTGCGAGGATTTGTGGTCTATCAAATCTAATGTAATGGCGGGGACGATCTTGAACATGTTCACAAACTCCAGAATTCCCGATACGTCGGTGCTTCACGTCAGGTATATGTTCTTTAACGAGGGTTTTTAAGATCTTCGGGAAACGTCGGGAAATAAAAAAGTTACAATTAAACGCGATACAATCCGTAAAAATCAGTTTCATTTAATGTGTAGTCCTCGCGTAAATATAAGGAAACATTATCATGTAATTTATCAAATAAACTAACAGAAACCAGAAAAAAAATATCTATGTTAATTTTAGTGTAGATGGTCCGTTATTCTTCATTCGTTTAATTATTACGTCAAAAATTGTTTGTAACGAATTTTTTTTGTATAACCATCCACAAAATATTTAATTGTTAATTATTTTATTTGTTTGTTACTAAAAATAATTTAATTAAAAGAACACAACTAATTTTTGATACTGATTTGAAAAAAATTGAGTTTGTAACACTGGCCCGCGATGCAATAAAATGGGGAAACAAGACGCCGCCTGTTGCGCTCTCTGTCGCACTTACGGGCCTTACGGCAGGCATAGTGACGCACCACTGTCGTGTCGATGTGTATATTATGAAAAAGTAAAGAATGCAAAATAAAAAGAAAACTATTAAATAATTACATTTATTATTGGTAAAAAATACATACTTAGACTATAAACAAAATGATTTTTTTAATCAATAATCAGCAACGTTCAAATGTCAAATTACCATAGAAGTATATTAAAACAGGTATTTATACTCTCTAAACGTAATTAATATTTATTAAATTACTTATTAATAAACTACTGCGCGCCAGCGCACACTATTCTTCGTCCTTCTAAGAATCAATAAGCGGTTATCGATAAGTGACGCACCGCACTCGTCTGTCCTTGCTCCCTAGCGCACCGATAATTTATGGCACCGCGGGTAGCGAGTGTTAGTATAAGTGTATGTTGCATGTTACATATTCGGCACATCTCTGGATGTATCCGTATCCGTTACTTTTGAGCAGACCTTGAACTGATCTTATAGTACATATTATTGGTACGAAGTTCCTTATCGCACGGTACGATTTTGGCGGATGGTGGCTAGGCGAGAAAAAGTGTAAGATTTTCCGTCACGACCCTTTCTATAGTGCGAGCGAGGTGGAATAATATCCATCTCCCTCGCACTTTTTCTTATTTGGCATGACAGAAATATTATTTTAAATGACGCTTCATTTTAATAAACGCTAGTAATTCATTTATTTGTATTTGTTAATCAATAATATAATAAATTTATCAATAATAATATACTACGAAAGGACCGAGTGTTTCACGACACTCACGCATGTTTTTCATTTAGTTGAGGCTAATTTTGTTGATAACCTGCAGGCTTATTCCTGAAATTGATTTCGAATGCGATTCAAACTGACGTCGTTTCGAATCTGATTTTAGAAGCTATAACAAAACACAATCGAGTTAAGATCATCATCATCGGCCATCATCAGCGCCGTTAGGTACATCTTTTTTTGGTCCGAGAACATTTTTAATAAATTAAAAGTTTTACAAACTTAAGAGAAAGCGTTCTCGTCGTTTAAATTTTTCTCTGCAACAATAATATTTATTTTTGTAGATATTGTTTATATTTTGATCATGATAATTTTTTTCCTTTTTACTTGTTGTTAATCGCGAGTGTTCTAGCATTTTTGCATTGAAAGATAGGAATGTTAGTGTTCACGCTCTGAGTTGCCCCAACAAAGGTTGACTGGACTAGGGCCCATGAGTAATCCCATCGACGGGCAACAGAGGACGGGGCCCAACGGCCTATGGATAATGTTCAAAAACGGCTGATAAATAAGCAAGCACTTATCTATTTCAGGAGGTAGGGTTGACCACAGGGTACCAGTCAGGTGATAAGTGAGGTGCATGTAAGTAGTGGGCAGTGGTGTGTACAATGTGAGACCTGACTTAACCATTGAAGTCGAACCGCAGATCCGCAGGCGCTGCGTTTCTCCAAATGTGCGATCCTCCAGAGATAGTTCACTTTATCTGAACTCAAGTCTGACGTCACTTCACTATTTCAGTCTGTCAACTTTATTGTACATATAATTAACTTCAAAGTCAACCAATTCAACGTTCATCGAAATCAAACACGTGACACACGGCACCACTAATGAACGGGCGATCAAAGTTCAACTTCCATTTTTACTTGGCAACAAAATTCTAACCACGCGTAAGAACGCGATCTCTTCTCGAGTCACAAGGTTCACCGTTTTAACCGACAAAGGAAAATGTCTCCGAACTATATCAAATGCCCCACGAGCAAAATTAATATTGTCAAATGCAGTTCAAAATGCAATCACTAAAAATGCGCTTCAATTGCAATCACTATACAAATTGACGTAAATTACTTGCAAACAAAGGTAAGTTAATAATTCAAATTCAATACAAGCCGTCCGTCGCGCAGCAATTATTGGCAATCAGTTAATTTAATCACTCAAAACTCAAATTAGGCCTCTTGTCACGTAACACTGAAAACAGACATTCAATTCGAGGCGGTCCCAATCGGACCTAAATATTCTATAGCAAATTCAGACGACGCGTACAAAATGGATACCCACCGCGCCCGACCCACTTACGGTCGCAAACAACACACTAGTCGACGATGCCGCTAAAACGCTTGTCCATACACTGCCCTACAGATTGTTTCAGAACTACATAATATGCGTCGACTGGAAAAAATGTTTAAAATGCCTTTAAATAATGTGTTGTTTATCGTTCCCAGAATTTCCATATAAAAACTTTAAAAAGATATACTCTATTTTTTTCTATTATATTTATCTAACACCCTAGATTTTTGGCCCCTCAAACCGGATGCGCTAAACATAACCTCTTATCCAACTACCTTATACTAATAGTTGCACAAATATTTAAAAAACAATTGAATTAATTCAATTCTAGATATTTTCTTTCTCACACGTTCCTCTCTTAAACCTACCAACAAGCCTACTGAGAGCTCCATGTCCAGCAGGAGACTTATATGGGTTGATGAAGATGTAAAATTTGAAAACTTAACTTACTGTCTTCATTTTGACATCCACTACACGAAGAATATTATTATCCGTGCCACCACATACCATCAAATTAGTTTTGGGCACGAATTTTCCACAATAAAGTTTCGATTGGTGATGGTCTGGTACAATTGTTTCAATCAATTTGCATGACCCATAATCCCATAGTTGAATACTGTTATTATCTTGCCAGGAGCATGTTAAAATCTTAAAGAAAAGCATTATATTAGTATTATTTCATCGCATAACCTTAAATACTATTTCCGCGCCATGAGCAGCGACCTCAAACCCTAAAAGCAGCATGAAAGTGCATAATGAGTACAAATGTATATGACACTAAGTAAAAGTGTTCATCTGTATTATATTTAGCGTTAGATAATAAATAAATTACAGTCCATCTGACCATCGTCAATTTTTCATTCTGGTCTTCTTCTAAATTCTTTAACTATTTATAAGCCAGTGCTTGACTACTATCCCACCTGATGATAAGTGGTGATGCAGCTGAAAATGGTAAAACGCACTAACTTACAATAATAACATATTCACTCTTGCTTTGAGAAGACCATAGAATAAGAAGTAATCGGATAGAAAGATAGATACTAGCTAAGTATTCCGCTCATTTGTTGAACTCCTTATAAACGACAAAGCCAACCGTTTGGTTCGAATGTGTAGTATGTCGAATATTTCTTTCTATATGTATAATATATATTCTTTTTGCTTAGATTCTATCTCACTGTGGCCATACGTAATCTGCTCAAAGACTTCTCTATGTTTACTGTTTACTAGAGTGGCAATTCAGATCAAAAAGTGTTTACAGCTGTAAATCGCGCGGGCACCGGCGCGGCGGGGCGGGTTGCTGGCACGGTAAATATGACACATATGTTGTATTTTCATTTACGACAGTACTGTTTTAGGCGATTACGGAATAAAGTTACATACCTAAAGGCAAAGTACGCACCTAAATAATGACAGTGTTTTCTTGTTCACATTAATTACATGTTAGATTGTCGAAAACAACGTTCGCGTTTTACAAACCCAAGAACTAGTCTTACCTTACACAGTCGACTAAAGAAGTTACGGAAAATTGATCGCAATGTATTAGTACCGTAATGCCTGTCTAGTAGTAAATAGAACTAGATCACTTTAGTTCGCAGTTGTATCGCTTCGAAGTATTCGCTTGTATCGCCAATTCAATACTGACTCGGTCGCTTTTTTTTTGCACACAGAAGCAATTGAAAAAGGCTACCCCTTTAACGGCGAGGAGGTAGTGAATGCTTTATGCATACCACGACAACCGGCTGTCGTGGTTATGTGGGACTCACTGTGACTACACTACCTTACAACCCTAAGTGTACCCACTAAACACCACCCATGGGGCTGGCATTGGCTTATTAGGCCTTTCTACCGAATCGGAAGACTCTCCTTTACGAAAAGAGACGACCCTCTTTTAGGAAAAGATGGCGCAGGCGGCTACGAGCCGCTGAAAAGGAGCCTACTACGGCAAATCTAAGAAGAGTCGGCCTGAGCCGCCAGGAGGCAGTTCAGGTCGGTTGAAAGTTTATTTGGCGGGTCCGAGAGAGAGTTTCTCGGCCTGCGGACTCGATAGCGAGAGGGGAGTGGGTCTGCATAAGTAGCTGCCTCACGAATGATTTGAGTGAGACTCTGAGGCTTTGAAGAAGTTCTCAGAGAGTATTTTAAGAAATTGTTGAATTGTAGGGAGCTCTAAGTCCCGATGGAGGTCGGTGTTACGGACGTACCAGGGTGCGTTCGTGACTCGACGATAGAAGAGGTTTTGAACTATTTGAAGTTCATTAATGACTTTGGGGTGAGCGTGAGCAAATATAGGGCCCGCGTAAGACATGACTGGTCGTATAGACCTTATAAAGGGTTCGCTTGTTTCGGAGGGACATTTTACTGTGTAAGCCCAGCATACTGTTGAGCCTACTCAGATAAAAACGTGCGTGGCGGGTTACTCTTTTGACATGGGGCCCGAAGGTGAGCCTCGTGTCAAGGGTGACACCTAAATATTTGGCAGACGTATGCCAGGGGACAGGGGTTCCTAGCATACGTATTGGTGGAATGTTTTTGAGGCGGCGTCGTTTATGATCGAAGTGAACGGCGGAGCTCTTCTCCGGGTTCACACCGATGCGCCATTTTTGGAACCAAGCTCTTAGGTCATCAACTGACTTTTGGATCTTGTTCCGTATGAAAGGTAGCGAGATACCTTTACAACAGACGGCAGTGTCGTCTGCGAAAAGGGAGAGCTGAACACCTTTCGACGGGATGGAAATGTCGTTGGTGAACAGGATATACAGGAGAGGAGCAAGTGCTGAGCCCTGAGGGACACCAGCTTTGATGGGGCGCTGAGAGGAGAGCGTGCCTTCGTGTCTAAAACGAAAGGTACGATCCTTTAGGTAAGAGGCCACGAGACGTACAAGACGATCAGGGAGACCTATTTTGTATAGTTTGTAGATAAGGCCTTCGTGCCAGACTCTATCAAAAGCTTTTGCAATGTCAAAAAAAAACCACGATGGTATTAAAAGCGTATACATTGACCCATAAATGAATTACTGATTCTGTGGAGTCTAGTAACTGGTATTACAAGCTTATGTTCGTTCCTAGTGTTTAAAGTATGCACATCCTTTTTCTTATTAAAGCTATTTATGTTTTTATGTACATAAATTACATTTTCATAAATATATTGCGATGCCAAGGTTAATATGTTTATTTCTTTAAATTTTTGTCTGAGGGACTATTTACAATTTAGGTTATAAATCACCCGAACGGTTCTCTTTTGCAAAACAAATATAGCTTCAATATCAGTCGCATTACCCCATAGCAAAATCCATAAGACATTACTCTATGAAAGTAACTAAAATACACTAATCTAGCTGTCTCAACATCTGTGAGACTTCTAATATTTCTTACAGCATATGCTGCAGAACTAAGTCTGTTTGCTAATTTAGATATATGGGGGCCCCATTGAAGTTTCTCGTCAATAGTAATACCGAGAAAAATAGTGGTATCCACAAGACTCAACTCCTCCCCATTTAACAGCACATTGGTATTCGAATGTTTTACATTAGGTATTGTAAATTTAATACACTTTGTCTTATTGCCGTTTAAGAGCATATTATTGGCATTAAACCAATGTACTAATTTCGATAGAGCATTATTTACATCGTCATAATTAATTAACTGCCGTTTGAGTTTGAAAATTCTTTAATTTATCAGGTATCGTCAGCAAATAATACTATATCGTGATTGCCCCCTACAAGATAAGGTAAGTCATTAATATAGATTAAAAACAGGAATGGGCCAAGAATCGAGCCCTAAGGAACGCCCATTGATACTACCGATCCGGAGGAAGCTTTACCATTGATCACGACTTTTTGAGTTCTGTTACTTAAATATGAAGTAATAAGTCTAAGCGCCAAATTTTTTACACCGTAATGTTGTAGTTTCCTGCTTAATGTCTCATGATGTACACAATCGAAAGCCTTGAAAAGATCACAGAAAATACCTAAGGCATCTAGTGAATTCTCCCAGGTATTAAAAATATATTTCATAAGTTCAACACCGGCGTCAGATGTCGGGCGACCCCTTGTAAAACCAAATTGGTTTTTATGAAGTAATTTATTTGTATTAAAAAAAATTAACAATTGATCCAAAATTATTTTTTCAACAATTTTACTGAGAGTTGGTAGTACAGAAATAGGTCTAAAATTAGCGGGGTCCAATGTACTACCAGATTTAAATAAAGGTATTACTTTACTATACTTCATTAAATCAGGAAACACACCACAATCGATACAAATATTAAAAATAATAGCAAGATGAGGTGCAATTAAATCTATTATGGACGCAATAACTGTAACGGAAATCCCCCACAAATCTGCGGTTTTCTTTACATCAATAGTTTTGAAGTATTTTACAATATCTTGCGGTAATACTTTTTAAATCTAAATATCTTTTAAACAGGTATTAACATTCTGTTTCAGTAATGACTCGGCGACAGTTGGAGAAGCATTCAATGACTCTGTTGTCAAGATAGGAATATCAGTGAAATATTTCTCAAACACCGCTGCGACTTCTTCAAAAAATTCGTCAATTCATTGTTAATTTTTAATTGATAGTTTGGGTTACGACATTTGTCTTTACCGGTTTCACTGTTAATTATACTCCACGTCATTTTAATTTTATTCTTAGCCGTCTTAATTTTGTTGCTAATATGTAATGATTGGGCTGTGGAGCAAACTCTTTTATACATTTTAGAATAATTTTTGACATATTCTTTAAAACCATCGGAAGGATTATATGATCTTTCATGGTAAAGGTCATATAACCTTTCGTCTTATTCGTCTTCTTCTATGAATTCCTACTGTCGCCCACTCATTAAATGCCTTCGACGCCGACTGACCAATAATATGCTATTATTATAGCGTCTAGTGGATCTAGTGACGTCATCCAAGATGCCACCAATGTGACTGCTGTTTGAATTGATTCCTAGTCATTGAAAATTAAATATTTTATTTCATGACACTAAAATGACTTTAAAAGCTATCTTCCATGAATTCGGGACTACGCCTTGGGAGTAGGAGTATCGGAAAAGACGCGCTATGACCGGTGCCAACTCCGGAGCACACGTCCTCAGCACAATTGGGGGGATACCGTCAGGCCCACTCGACTTCTGGATGTCCAGAGAGAGAAGTGCTTTGCGAACCGAGCGCTGTGAGAACAGCACATCCGGCATGGAGCACTCACACCGCGGGATGGTCGGCGGTGTTTTCCCCCCGTCATCAAGAGTCGAGTTGGACGCAAAAAGGGAGCCTAAAAGGTCAGCTTTGTCTTTTGCGTCTTGGGCCAATGAGTCGTCCTCCCTGTGCAGAGATGGTAATAATAATAATAATAATAATAAAAATATTTATTCATTGACCAAAAGTAATAAAATATTTAACAGTTAAACTAATACAAAAATGATATTTTTAGAAGGACAATGAAAGGGTTCTGACTCAGCATGTGTTGCAGAGAATCTACAACGCTGTTATTCTGTCAGCACCCATATACCTACTTAGTGAGCTAAAGTATAACAGTACGCGTACATCACTGATTATATTACAAATAGCTTTTAGTGTTAAATTATTTATTTATTCATTCAGTCAGTACAAGAACTATTTAATTAACCAGTACAAGTTTTCATATTATTT